GTGAATGGACAGCCAAAAGTCACAGTTGCTGGGGGGCAAGCTCAAATATGAAGGAAAAAACTTGAAAATAGAATTGCAAGAGACAAAGAAAACTTCCACAAAACCATAAATATCAGAGAGATTAAGATGATACCATATCCATGAAAAACATGTAAAAAACAACAAAAAACAGAGTTTCAGAAAATCAGAAGTCAGTCTAGGATTTCTAAAAATAAATGAATATAAACACTATCAGTAAAGAACAGGGAAAACATAAGGGGGTCACTTATGTAGCACTGAAGGACATGCCTCTATTGAAAAGATCCATTGTGGGCCCAGAATAAGAATTTTAAAACACCCACATAAAGCACATCATCTGAAATTTTAGAAATGATAGAGAAGATATTCTAAAAGCTTTCTAAGAAAGCAAATAGTTTGTACTCAGGAATCAGAATGGCTTTGAATTCAAAAAAACAACTTCAGAAACTAGAAGATAGTGGAGAAATGCCTTTTAAAATACTGAGGGAGCTGGCTTGGTGGCTCAGCCTGTAATCCCAGCACTTTGGGAGGCTGAGGTGAGTGGATTGCCTGAGCCCGTGGGTTCGAGACCCACCTGGGCAACTTGGTGAGACCTCATCTCTACAATAAATAAAAAATTAGCAGGGCATGGTAGTGCATGCCTGTAGTTCCAGCTACTTGGAGAGCTGAGGTGGAAGGATCGCTGGAGCCCAGCAGGTTGAGGCTGCAGAGGCCAGGAGCGGCCACTGCACTCCAGTCTGGGTGACAGAGTAAGACTCCAACTCAGAAAAAAATAATAATAAAAGAATAAAATAAAACAAAATACTGAGGGAAAAGTAATAATAATTCTATACCCAGCTAAACTATCAAACAACTTTGACCATGGAAAAAATATATTTAAGGAATCACAGTCTAAAAGATTAATCTCCTATACACCTGAAAAATGGGCTTCAATAAAATGAACAAGCAGGAAGAGATGGTGTTCAAGGAAGAGGAGGAATTCAACACAGAAAAATGAGGGAAATTGTCAAGATAACAATAAGTGAAAATCCTAGGTTGATACGATGTAGCAGGCAAAGAAAGCAGTCAGCTCAGAGTGGGCTCTTAAAAAATGTGTTTGAACCTATTCATGGTAGATTCTTACCTCTGTCAGAATTTGATAGCTTTAATTTGGAAAAAAAAAAGTGACAAAATGAAAGGTGGCATAAAAATCTATTTTCTACTTTATATTGAATAATTCCATTCTATTGGTGGGAGGAAGAAGAGCAGTAGGGAAAAGATTTCATGATTTCTACCATGGTCAGCTGAACTTGGAAGGTGGCAGATGTCTGTGAGACACTGGAGAAACACACCACAACATAATGCTGTTGAACTGAACAGCTGGGCTGGGGCGGGATCTCAAGGTGTGGGTCAGAGAGGCAAATACCTATGGCTATACCATCTACTCTGAAGTCATCCAATCTCATTTTCTCTCCAGCCAAGCAGGGTTTGTCCCAGTTAGTAGTAATAGTAATAACAGCCTACACTTATTGCCAAAAATTGTTTCAATTTGCCTATTGCTATGGTCTGAATGTCCCCCAAAATTCATGTGTTGAAATGCAATTCCCATTGCAGTGGTATAAGAGGTGGGGCCCTAGGAGGTGATGAGGCCATGGGGGCTCTGCCCTCATCAATGGGACTGGTGCCTTATGAGGGCTGGGGAGAATTAGCTCAGGTCCTTTTTGCACTTCCACCCTTCGGCCATGTGAGGACACAGTATTCTCCCTTTCTGTAGGATGCAGACAAAATGTCTTGAGCTTGGACTCCCCAGCCTCTAGAACTGTGAGAAATAAATCTCCATTGTTATAAATTACCCAGTCTCAGGTATTTTGTTATAGCAACACACATGGACTAAGCACCTACATTTATATTTAATCCTCACAACTACAAAAGGGAAAAAAGGAAGGCTGAAGCTCTGGGAGTTTACATAAATTACACAAGACCACACAAGGCGAGTACATGGTAGAGTTAGGCTTCAAACTTAGCCAGGCTCCCCACCTTCCTTTCTTGGTCACTGCAATTATATTGGGAGATGGTCTTGGAAAACCCATTCTGCAGTTCTCTCTTTACTGAACTTCAAAGCAGTGGCAGCTCCAGAATTTATAGACAGGAGGCACTGGAGGGGCTTAGGGTTAGCAGTGTGGTTTAGAGCTCGCCGAGCTCCAGCTGAAGGAGAAGAGGGTTAAGTAAGGAGGTCTCCATACCATGGCTCGTACAAAGCAGTCCACCCGCAAATCGACCGGTGGTGAAGCACCCGGGAAGCAACTGGCTACAGAAGCTGCTCGCAAGAGTGCGCCCTTACTGGAGGGGTGAAGAAACCTCATCGTGACAGGCCTGGTACTGTGGCTCTCCATGAAATTAGATGTTATCAGAAGTCCACTGAACCTCTGATTTGCAAACTTCCTTTCCAGCGTCTGGGGCGAGACGTTGTTCAGGACTTCAAAACAGATCTGCGCTTTCAGAGTGCAGTGACTGGTGCTTTGCAGGAGGCAAGTGAGGCCTATCTGGCTGGTCTTTTTGAAGACACCAACCTGTGTGTTATCCATGCCAAACATGTGACAATGATGCCAAAAGACATCCAGCTAGCACGCCGCATACGTGGAGAGCGTGTTTAAATCCACTATGATGGGAAACATTTCATTCTCAAAAAAAAAAAATTCTCTTCTTCCTGTTATTGGTATTTCTGAACGTTAGATTCCCGCCCCCCCCCCATGGGGTCAAAAGGTACCTAAGTATATGATTAGGAGTGGAAAAATAGGAGACAGAAATTCCATTTTCATTTGGTGTTAATTTTTGATATGAAAGTGGGATGTAAAGCATTAATGCAAGTCAAAGTGTTTCAGTGAACAAGTTTCAGCGGTTCAACTTTATAACAATTATAAATAAACCTGTTAAATTCTTCTGGACAACGCCAGCATTTGAATTTTTAAAAAAACAAGTAAATTTCTTATTGATGGCAAGAAAAAAATAAAAATAAAGCTATGGGTCTGTACAGGAGCAGGGGTGGGGTGGGGTGTAGGGTACGTGCTTTGCAGCTCTAGTAGCCTAGTAAGCATGCTATCCTTTGACTGACAGTTCAGCTTTACTTGGGGTGTTCTGAGAGGGCGGTTGCTAAAGAGACTGAGAAGTGATGAGCAGCCCTCGTGTCATCTCCTAAAACTGCTTCTGCTGCAAAGCCTCTTTTGGTTTTTGCTCCTCTCCTTACTCCCATCTCCTCCCCCTACCCCTGCCTTCACATCATGGGTTTGCTTGGCTGGCTGTAATGCCAGAGCTAGCCACGTATACCCCAAACATGTGTGACAAACAAGTCTAAAAGTAAACAAAGGTCAGCTTACTCAGTCTCCTACATGTATAAGCCCAGCATGAGTGTCACAGCAAAGAAACATAAGTAACCATTGTGTATAGGGGATTCTTTCTAAGACATGTCTGTACTGCAAGAATTGGTCAGGGTCCCAGTCTCTCAATTGCCCTGGACTCATAGTCTGTCTCTCCAGAATCCTTGTTTAGCTGGCATGCCATAACATCCTCTGCCAGGGGCACTGTTAAGTCGACTCAACTCAGTCAATCTCAACACACACGAATCTTCTCTGGCTTCCCAAAGAAGCAGGGTACCAGCCTCAAGCAGAGCCACACGAGTCCCTTTGTCCCCAATTCATGGACCATGCAATGGCTCTCTAACCTTAATGTGCAACAGAAGCAGCCTCTGGGGAACAAATGCACATTCTAGAGAACGTGGATATAGGTAATCTGAGAACCACATTTTGAGAAGCCTTTCAATAACTTCCTATGACATATAGATTTCAATTCAAATGTTTTAAAAAGTCTCCAAGCTACTGTATATGTTGACCCCTGCTGCTATTAACTGCTCAAAATTCATATGTTGAGACCCTTAATCCCAGTGTGCCTGTAATTGGAGATACAGTCTTTGGAAGGTGACTAAGGCTAGCGGAGGTCACATGGATGGGGCTCTCTTGATGAGATTAGTGTCCTTTTCAGAAGAGACATCAGAGAACTTGCTTCCTCTCCAGGGGCACACAAAAAAGAGCTCACCATGAACATACCCTGAGATGGGAGCGACCTATAGCCCCAGAAAAGAGGCCTCAGGATGAACCTACTTTGCCGGCACCTTGACCTTGGACTTCCAACCTCTAGAACTTGAGAAAATACATGTCTCTATTGAAGCTGCCCAGTTTATAGTATTTCGTCACAGCCCAAGCTGACTGATGCACATGGCTTTCTTTTTGATTTCACAATCCATGACTCTTATTCCAGCCATGTTGATCTTCTGACAGGCCCTCTAAAACCTACGCCAGTTTGGGAGGCTGAGGCGAGAGGATTGCCTGAGTCCAGGGGTTCGAGACCCGCCTGGGCAACTTGGCGAGACCTCATCTCTACAATAAATCAAAAAATCAGCTGGGCATGGTAGCGCGTGCCTGTAGTTCCGGCTACTTGGAAGGTGGAGGCGGAAGGATCGCCGGAGCCCTGCGGGTTGATGCTGGGGTGGCTATGAGTGTGCCACTGCACTCCAGCCTGGGCGGCAGAGTGAGGCTCTGATTTAAAGAAAAAAACCCACCTGCGCTAGGACATTCTGATCGTGATTCTCTCTCTGTACACTGCACTGCACGATCCCTTTCTCCATTGCTCGAACACTACCACCTCGGGGCTGGCTTCTGCTCAGCCCCATTTCCAGCCCGCCTGTCCCCTTCAGAGGTGGCTGACTACCAAGGTTTCCAGTGCTCGCCAGTCTTGCTTCAAACCTCTTTTCCCTTGGATTTGTAAGTGTGTTACAATGTGTCACATACATCACATATCTGATGCACATACTTTGACTAATTCAGTTTTGTTAATTAAGGCCCTTGGGTGGCAATATTTAAAGGAAGCTAGATAATTTATTATATTCCTCTGTCAAACTTGTACTTGTGTGAGGCAACTTTAAAGCAAGCCACAAGAGATATAAGATACACCCTTTTCAGTAGTATTCTTTTAATAGCCAGAGCTTTTAGTGTTGATGTCATACTTTAATTTGAAAGTCAACATAAAAGTTTAAGTCATGTACGAAGTTGAAAAGTGTTAGTGAAATAGGAGCTGAGTGTTGCTTTTTCTTATAAGTTTCCAAAAGACTTTTATTTTAAAACGCACACAGTGTTGGATACAAATGCCTTATACCCGTTGTGGTGGGGAGGGTGACACAGACCACTTACACCGATCCTCGCTACCAAGTCCATTGTTCTCAAAGTCTTACGAAGTACGAGAATATGTGTTTCTTCCCTCCTTTACTTCTGTTTGTTGTAATAAGAGTCCTTTGATGACAGCAAGCATGTGACCAAATTTTCCACAGACATTTGGCGATTATTAAAGTTTTGCAGTGGCTGGTTTTCCTACTGGAGTCTTACAACCTAAGATAAAAAAGAAAGACAGCTCACGAAACATGTTGATTTTGTCCTTCCTCACACAACTGCTTCTTAAGCCACTGCCCAAGAGGGACACCTGATACTTGTACAGAGCTTTATGGGCTGACCAGCACCAGTGGGGACACCAGCCCACTGCAGAGAGCTAGCAGATGCTCCAGGAGGTAATGGTGTAGCCAGCCTCAGGAGCTGAACCTGTTGTGTCTTCTGAACTTCAAGCCCAGCATGTTCTAGTAGGTTTACACTCACCTTCCATCTGCTTCTTGTGATTAAGAAACTTATTTTGTCACCCTTACAGAACATGGTGTTTGGGGGTTGTTTTAGCAACATGACCTTCTTCCCTAATTTTTTTTTTTTTTTTTGAGTTGGAGTCTCACTTTGTCACCCACGCTGGAGTGCACTGACACACTCATGGCTACCATAGCCTTGACCGGCTGGGCTCAGATGATCCTTCTGTCTCAGCCTTCCAAGTAGCTGGAACTACAAGTATCCAATAATTTTTTATTTACATAGAGATAAAGTCTCGCCAAGTTGCCCAGGCTGGACTTGAACCTTTGGGCTCAGGCTATCCTCTCACCTCAGCCTTCCGAAGTGCTGGGATTATAGGCATGAGCCACTGTGCCTGGCCCCTTCCCTAATTTGAAACAGAGTTTAAGATTCCTTATTCTGAGATTTCAGACATGAGCAGAACACTAGGATGTCGACCTGTATGTCTTCTTCCACAAGGCACAGCATTTCTACCTCCCTATCTGTGTCAACTGTTCCACTGCCCTTCTTTCTCCTCCTTTTCTTTCTTTCTTTTTTTGAGTCGGAGTCTCACTCTGTCACCCAGGCTGGAGTGCAGTGGCAGACTCACGGCCACTGCAGCCTTGACCTGCTGGGCTCAGGTGATCCTTCTGCTTCAGTCTTCCAAGTAGCTGGAACTACAGGCGCATGCTAACATGCCTGGCTTATTTTTTGATTTATTGTAGAGACGAGGTCTCACCATGTTGCCCAGGCTGGTCTCGAACCCCTGAGCTCAGGCAATCCTCTCACCCTGGCCTCCCAAAGTGCTGGGGTTACAGACTTGAGCCACCATACCCGGCCTACTCTCTTTCTTAAAACCGTTCTCTTTTGTTCATATGCTGTTTTGGTCTTCCCTAATCCTAACTCACATTCAGGTAAAGCTCTTCCATGAAGGTTTGGCAAATGGACCGAATTAAGATTAGGTGCAAAAACACTACCTGCAAGACTATCCACCCAAAGACATTATGCTTATTCAATATAATTGGCAGACTATTCGTTTCTTCAAATGTTAGCACCCTCCTCTCCTCTTCTAAAGTTGTTCCATCACTGCTATGAGAGGTGTTCTCCACCTCCTCTGATTGTTTGCATTTCTCTGGTTATATAAACATTCCTAACTCTTACTGTATACCATAAACAGATGGCCCTGCCTTCTTCTGGGCTGGACAATTTCTTTATAACTGATAGGATCTAGAGAAAAGAGTTGAATTATTTTCCCAAGAATGTGCTGCCAGCCCCAAATTCTGAGTTCAGCAAGTCTGTGTGATATGGACACGGACTTTAACCCCTGATCCAGGAGAGAAGGAAACCAAGACTGGTGAGAGAGAACAGGAATCAAAGGATGAAAATGAGTAGTCTCCCCACAAACAGGGTGTGAAGAGTCTGCACCTGACTGAGGTTAGTTTTGTCGGAACTAAATCTTCATGTTGTACACGACTGTCTATCTTACGCTTCTTGTGTTTTTATGCTGATTTTCTTTGCACTTTTCTTTAGTTTCCTTGAGAAAACTTCCGACTAAAAAAGTAGTTCCCTGTTTATATTTATAAAATACTTAGTGTCATAGTATACTTTCTTGTTTTAATAAATATTAATATCAATAAATGTGAAAATTCATTATATTTTATTAAACTGCACTTACCAAGCATTTCTTCTAGTTTGGTTGTGGCAGGTTCATTCACACGAAATATACACTCATTATTTCTAGGAGAAAAGGACAACAAGCTTTGTTACTGCATAAATTACAACTTTCAAAATTCTATTTTGCTCCTCACGGTAGATACCATAAGACGACTTTTCAATGGTCTTCCTCTAAACCAGTCTTTTTTTTTTTTTTTTTTTGAGTTGGAGTCTCACTCTGTCGTCCAGACTGGAGTG